CTCCACAGGATTAAGCCCCTGAAGCCACAAGAACTGGCTCGTTTGGATGCGGAGGTTCATAGTGTTCTAACAGAAGAGGCTGACATCTGGCAAATCAACACCGCCGTGTATAACGTCGTCCAATCGCTTTCCGAATCGGAAGGACGAAATCCCGGCCTTGCGGTTCGGAAGATTGAACGGCGTGTACACAAGATGGAAGCTAAAATCACGTCGGCGAGACAACACGCATCTCGTATCCAATGTGTGATGGATTACAGGGCAGCCAACAGGCCTTTCACGCCCGCAGTGCGGCGAATAGCTGTCAATCTACGACGTATCCATCACACTTTAAGCCAAGGCGTGCTGCTGACCACCAAACAGCACTGCTTTGATAGGATACGAATGCTAGTGGCTGCTAAGAAGTCACTAGTGAGGCAAGTGAGAAGTATCGCGGAAAACCTTAGGTTTCGCGAGAAATCTTCTCGCTTATTCCAAGAGCCTCCACGTGTTGTGGATAATCCGCCGACTGCTGATCAGCTGAAATCCTTCTGGAAAGATATCTATGAACACCCGCAGCCATTCAACTTAGACACTCCAGCCCTAGCACGGTTCGAAGCTTTCAACAGAGAGTTTCGACAGCCTGAACTCAATGAACTGCGCAACCCGATAACCCCGGATGACGTTCGAAGGGCCCTTGTTGGTTCCAAGAACTTTGCTGCTCCAGGCCCAGATGGGCTGAACACTTATTGATGAAAAAAACTACCAAGCACCCACCGCCATCTGGTCAAAGTTTTCAACTCATGGCTGGACGGAGAGCAGCCGATTTCGGATTGGTTTGTCGAGCGGCGGACCGTTCTTATCCACAAAAGCGGAGATTTGTCGATTCCTAAGAATGACAGACCGAAAACATGCTTGAATTCGTCTTATAAGTTGTTTACAAGCATCTTATACACAAGAATACTCACGTAGACCGAGTGTTCGAACGGATATATGAGCGCCCGACTCACGATCGGAAGACCGTGGATTCGATTCCCGCCTCGACCAGATATTTTTCTCGAGAGAATTTATCTGGTAGAAGCTGAAATGATTCTGCAACCGTGTTAGGAATCACACGTTTGAAATGTAAGACCTCGTTAGTCCTTAGCTCGTACAAGTTCTGAGAGTTGTTCGTATGGGGGCGACAGCTGATTAACGGAAAAACAAATCAGAACAGAACAGATAGAGAGAGTCGAAGAGAGAAGTCGCTGGATGTAAAGGGAACCTGCTCATCGATAGATGAGTAACGCAGGACTCGATACAATACAAGCGTAACCTCTCTATGGCCTGGATCGATTACCGTAAGGCATTCGATACAATTTCGCATGAGCTCATCTAGCATTTGCTCAGATGCCTTGCGGTACTCGACAATATAGTGAGATTCATTGAACAACTGATACCACTTTGGCGAACTCGCTTTACCATAACATCTGGTCAAGCAAGAGTCCAAACAGGGTGGGTCACTTTCAGATGGGATGTATTTCAGGGTGATTCCCTCAGTCTCCTTCTCTTCTGAATCTCACTATTGCCATTATCCGTTGCGCTCCGAAATACTCGAGGGTATAACTGTGGCACCCCCGGAAACCGGAGGTACAAGGTCACCCATCTGTTTTATATGGATGATCTTAAACTTTATGCCTCTGGAGAGAAGGATCTCCATCAGTCCTTGAGGGTGGTGGAAGAGTACACGCATGCTATCGGTATGAAATTCAGGATAGACAAATGTGCAATGGTCCATCTCAAAAGAGGACGATGCGGGGACTACGGAGAGGATGTGCAGCTCGTAGATGGGAGCATCCTACATCATCTGGATGCCGGAGAGACGTATACTTACCTCGGGGTGGAACAACGCCACTCACGAAAGGTAACAGCAGTGAAAAACTCTCTCCGCGGCAAGTATCAGCACAATTTTTAACAAATCTGGTCATCGGAACTGTAGGAGAAGAACAAAGTTCCTGCAACAAATATGCTTGCCGTTCCAATCTTACTCTACTCGTTTGGAGTAGTGAAGTGGACTCGGGAGGATATGTATCAACTCGACGTAAAGACCCGAGAAATGACAGATCACTATAGGAGTTTGCATCCCAAATCGTCCGTCCCACGGTTGTACTTCCCCCGACAACAGGGAGGCCGTGGACTTTTGAGTTTGGAGTGTCTGCATGACAGAATGGTACTGGATACAGCCTGTAAAGTCGTAAGGAGTTCGGATCACCTTGTCTGCATGGTCCATGACCTTGAGAGAGTAGGAATTGGAGCATTTCTCTTTAGGACAGCTACCCGAGCAGCTGATGAACTCGGTATAGTTTTCGACACTGAATTAATTTTTATTTCGAAAACGGTAACAGATAGGTACAGGGAAATATCAAGAAAAGTTGTCGGGCAATTGTTGGAGATTCCAAAAATAATATTATATACAGAGTGTTCCATTTGAAAAATCAAAGTTGCTACTGCTTTCTAATAGAAGCGGCAACACCGCATTGTCGAAAATATATCAGTTGGCTAGAGAATGTCTGAATATGCCCTCCATTAAATTTTCAAAGTGATCCGTTGTCTGGTTCACCGAAAACGTCTAATGTGCCATCCACCGTGAATCAGCCTGTATATATGGTGAGCTGTTTTCTCGGGTTTCGCTCCGTGTTCTGTGTATTTTATCCCCAGATTTTCACAACGTTTCGGCAAAGTCTCATTTGCCATCTTCTGGTGATGTCTGGTTTTATCAACTAGACTAGTCTAGTTTACTATATCAGTTACCTCGACTATAATAGTTCGTACAATTGTTTTTACGTTTGAATTTCACTTCCTGGAAGTTCTGGCAACCATCTTTAGCATCGATTCTCTCCCAATCGCTAGAGCCATGTGGCTGTTAAAGCTAGATTCTTCATCCAGGCCACTGCTGATGGACATAATGAAATCTGTTGTAAGTACTGGAGGGTGCTGTGCAAATCATTTTTCGCGGTTTTTTTTTATGCATACTCCCTCATAGTTCAGGCGACAAAGTTACTGGATTAATAAAGAAGACACTTGTTCTGAATTCATTTTACGTCAGAAGTTTCAGTATAAACTCCCATCAATAACCTATAACTTAAAAA